TCAATAAACCAACTGAGTAATATTTTTTAGACAATTTGTGAAATAAGAATTTAAATAGGTTATTCAATTACAGATGGTTCCTGACTTACAGTGGTTTGACTTAGGATTTTTAGACTTTAGGATGGTGCAAAAGCAATCCGCATTCAGTGGAAACCATACTTTGAGTGGCTATGCAACCATTGTATTTTTTTTTTACCTCCAGTTCAATATTCAATAAATTACATGAGATATTCAACACTTTATTATAAAATAGGCTAGACTTTGTGTTAGATGATTTTGCCCAACTGTAGGCTAATGTAAGCGTTCTGAGTATGCTTAAGGTAGGCTAGCTATGATATATTCAGCAGGTTAGGTGTATTAAACGCATTTTTGACTTACAATATTTTCAACTTACAATGGGTTTGAGAGGCATCTATATATTAAAGAATTATTGTTAATTTTGTTATAGGTGTTAGCAGCATTATGTTGGGTGAGAAATGTCTATTTTTTTTCTTTTGAGATGCACAAGAAAATATTTAAGGATGAAATGACATAATGGCTTAGATTTGGTTTAAAATATTCCAGTTAAAAAATGTGGAGAACAATAAATGAAACAAGCGTAGCATTATATGGATGACTGTGAAAGTTGACTGATAGGCTTATGGAGGTCCATCGTACTATATTTTTGAAGTATGTTTGGAAGTTTTTTTTTTTTTTTTTGAGACGGAGTTTTGCTCTTGTTACCCAGGCTGGAGTGCAATGGCGCGATCTTGGCTCACCACAACCTCCACCTCCTGGGTTCAGGCAATTCTCCTGCCTCAGCCTCCTTAGTAGCTGGGATTACAGGCACGCGGCACCATGCCCAGCTAATTTTTTGTATTTTTTTTAGTAGAGACGGGGTTTCACCATGTTGACCAGGATGGTCTCGATCTCTTGACCTCGTGATCCACCCGCCTCGGCCTCCCAGAATGCTGGGATTACAGGCTTGAGCCACCACGCCCGGCCATGTTTGGAAGTTTTATATTTAAACATTAAAAATAAGTTGTATCAGAAAAAAATATGTATTGGGAACTGAGGAAACAAGGTGGGGCTAATGATAGAAACACAGATTTGAGAAGCTGTCCCAAGGCAGAGTACTTGGTGTGCATGATATGCCCATACTGTTTAAAGTGGACAGCTGCAGCTTTATAGCACCCATCAGGGTGACACTGAAGGACAGTGGTGAAAGAAAATTCTCAGGCCAGATGTGGCGGCTTACACCTGTAATCTGAGCACTCTGGGAAGCCGAGGTAGGTGGACCACTTAAGGCCAGGAGTTCTAAACCAGTCTGGCCAACATGGCGAAACCCAGTTTCTACTAAAAATACAAAAATTAGCTGGGCATAGTGGCACATGCCTGTGGTCCCAGCTACTCAGGAGGCTGAGGCAGGAGAATCACTTGAACCCAGGAGGCAGAAGTTGCAGTGAGCCAAGCAGGCAACACTACACTCCAGCCTAGGTGATAAAGCAACACTCCATCTCAAAAACAAAAGAAAATTCTCTAGTAGTCAGATCTTTGACTAGTTCATTGGTAGTCTGTCTACTTTGGAGAGACAGTTGGCCAGACATATGGCTTTATAACTCATTACATGAGCAGTTGCTTAGTTGGTCTTGATGTTAGACTTGGAAAAAACAGGACTGAAAGATTGGTGAACAGGAAGTCTGGGGAAGAATAAGCACAAACTGTGAAGATATTTGTGTCCCATGTGAATCCTCACCAGACAGCACACACTTAAAGAGGAAGAAGAGAAAGCTTTTGATTAGCAGGTGAAACAAATGACACACTGTCTGTGTATCAGCCAGCGACTTTCCCCAGAAAACCCAGTGCTTCCTCAATGGACCCATGAACAAAGTGGCTATGGTGGCAGAGATAGGAGCTATGTATGAGCTTGATAGTATGGACTTTTCTTTGGCTCACCTGGCCAATGCTACTGAGTGCTGAATCTGCTAACAGCAGAGACCAACACTGAGTACTGAAATAGCAGTTTTCTAAGGGGACCAATCAGCTGTCAGGTGGCAGGTTGATTATGCTGGATCTCATTCATCATTGAAAAAATAGAGATTTGCCTTCATTAGTGTAGACATACATTCTGAATATGGATCTGACTTCCCTATCCACAGTTGTTCTGCTAGCGCCACTATCCATGGACTCACAGAATGATTTTTTTTTTTTTTTTCTTTTCTTGAGACAGAGTCTTGCTTTGTTATCCAGGTTAGAGTGCCATGGCGAGATCTCAGCTCACTGCAACCTCCAACTCCTGGGTTAAAGCAATTCTCCTGCCTCAGCCTCCCGAATAGCTGGGATTACAGGTGCCCACCACCATGCCTGGCTAATTTTCATATTTTTAGTAGAGACAGAGTTTCACCATGTTGGCCGGGCTAGTCTCGAACTCCTGACCTCAGGTGATCCGCCTGCCTCGGTCTCCCAAAGCGCTGGGATTACAGGTCTGAACCACCATGCCTGGCCTCACAAAATGACTTATTTGTGACCAAGTCACCCTGTACAATGATAAGAAAACTAATTCTTTTTTTTTTTTTTTTTTTTTTTTGAGACGGAGTTTCGCTCTTGTTACCCAGGCTGGAGTGCAATGGCGTGATCTCGGCTCACCGCAACCTCCGCCTTCCGGGTTCAGGCAATTCTCCTGCCTCAGCCTCCTGAGTAGCTGGGATTACAGGCACACGCCACCATGCCCAGCTGATTTTTTGTATTTTTAGTAGAGACGGGGTTTCACCATGTTGACCAGGATGGTCTCGATTTCTTGACCTCGTGATCCACCCGCCTCGGCCTCCCAAAGTGCTGGGATTACAGGCATGAGCAACCGAGCCCGGCCTCAGAAAACTAATTCTTATCCTTCTTATCAAGGAACTCATTTGATACAAAGAAAGCATGTCAGTTGGCTCATGTCCATAGAATTAACAATTCTCAACACATATCTCATCAATTGGAAGTGTCTGGCCTTGTTGAAATCTGTAAGGGCTTACTGAAGGCTCAGTTCTAGATGCAGCTGGGAGACAACTCCTTGAAAGGATGGATCTTTCTCTTTCCAAAGTAGACTACCACATGTATGACTTGAAGTACTGCTTATCGGGGGATTTTCCTTCACCGCTGTCCTTGGGTGCCATATATACTTTGTCTAAGGATACAGTACAGGCTTTGAACCAGAGTCCACTCCTATGGCGCTATCTTCTCTATGGCTAGAACACAAGGGTCTGGGAATCCAGGACTGAAAATTTCTTACTACAATTAAGAATAAGAGGATCACCATTATCAATACTATTATTCTGAAAGTTGTTATTAACAAATTAGATAAACAAATGAATCTTACCTTTGGAAATTAGGTTAATTCATTTATTTACACATTATATAATTGAATACATGGAAAATCCAAGAGAATCAACTAGAAAACTGTTAAAAATAAGAGAATTTAGCAATATGGCTGAATTAAAAAATAATATACAAAAATCAAACTATAAGTAAAATAATCAGAAGAACATAACAGAAATTACTGTCCTATTTACAATAACTTCAAAAAATCAAACAGCTATTAAGGTTTTAAAATCTTTTTACTATGGAAAATTGTAGAGCAATAATTAACCCTGACACACCCATCTTCCAATACAAATAAACTAATCATGATTCACTTCCACATCTACCCTCAGATTATTTTGAAGCACATGTGTGAGGTCATACAGTATTTAATTCTTAAATATTTCAAGATAGATAATAAAGATAGATATAAAAGATACTATAGATTCTATGGAATATAAGATTCAACATCATAAGGAAGAGAGTTCCCAGGTAAGATAAACGCTTACAGCAGGCCCACAGAGACAATGTCCAGATTGGGGGTAGGGGGCGGGCACAAGACGCCAATAAAGAGTTGAACGTGGCCGGGTGCCGTGGTTCACACCTATAATCCCAGCACTTTGGGAGGCTGAGGCAGGTGGATGACTTGAGCCCAGGAGTTCGAGACCAGCCTGGGTCACATGGTGAAACCCTATCTCTACTAAAAGTACAAAAATCAGCCAGGCATGGTGGCACATGCCTGTAGTCCCAGCTACTCAGGAGGCTGAGGCATGAGAATCGCCTGAGCCTGGGAGGCAGAGGTTGCAGTGAGCAGAGATGGCGCCAGCACTCCAGCTTGGGTGACAAAAAGAGACTGTCTCAAAAAAAAAAAAAAAAAAAAGTTGAAATAATCATAGTTACTTACTGGAAAATAATCATAAGTAGTTACCAATGAGTGTGAGCATTTTGAAATAGTGATAAGTACACTTAAAAAGTAACCAAAGAAAAAAACCTGAGGTAATCATCAATCTCAGGAAAAATAAAATGTAGAGTGCATGGCAGCTATGAACAATAACTTCATAGTTATGATCACATAAATATTGACAATTGATTTAAAATCACAGCATTAAAGGAAATAAGTGAAGGAAAGTTTGTGGGTAGATGATATAAATGTTCTTAACCACTGTAACATTTACTTAATGTTAAAATTAATGTATCAGGAAATGACAGTATAAGCACTCTCTTTGCATAGAAGTCACCAATGGGAGGAACAGCTAAAATATCATAGTTTTTTTTAATTAGGACTGCACATGGGGAGAAGCATGGCATAAGGCCATGAATCGTTATTATAAGAAAGCTTTTAATATTTGATTTTAAAATCATAACTATATATCATGTTGATTGAAAAATAAAAATTGGCTGGGTGCAGTGGCTCATGCCTGTAATCCCAGCACTTTGGGAGGCCAAGGTGGGAGGATCACTTGATCCCAGGAGTTCGAGACCAGCCTGGCCAACGTGGTGAAACCCTGTCGCTACTATAATTATAAAAATTAGCCTGGTGTGATGGCAAACGCTTGTAACGGCAGCTACTTGGGAGACTGAGGCAGGAGAATTGCTTGAACCCAGGTTGCAGTGAGCCAAGATCACTCCACTGCTCTACTGCTCTTTAGCCTGGGTGATGGAGGGAGACTTTATCTCAAAAAAATAAAAATGAACAAGCAAAAAAAAAAAAAATGAGAAAGGAAACCACACTCACCTGGAATATTGTTGAGTGTAATCCAGAAATGTTCATCTGGACTGTACGTATCCTGAGACCACTGGAGTAACTCAATGGCTATTTTATTATAAAGCGCAAAATGGACAAATTCCCTTGTAAGGGCAACATAAGTTGAACCAAAGTGGATTTTGAGTTGACATGGAGGTGGGCTCTTCCTTTTACGTTTCCGTAAGACAAAAGCGTGTGATCTGGTTCTGTACTCTCTATAGGTATATTTGATTCTTTCAGTAGATTTCAGAACAGACACTAAATTAGGTGTAACGTTTGTCCAGTTCATCATTTTTAAATACTGAACTATCTCCCTGTTGGTTTTTAGGGGGAAATCGTGATCACCAGTGTTAATGACATATCTCCACTGAACAGCTGATGCTATAAGATCTCTCATGCAGGCCAGGTCTGCTTGGAGCTTGGATTTGCCCCCATAAATAATGTACTCAGACTGTGAGGATATAAATGCATTTGAGAAGCACTCCAGTAATTCACTCACAGCAATTTTGAAGTCAATCGTGGCTGCCTTATCAACATGAATACAGTAGACATTTTGAGGCATGTAAATAGCCCGGAAAAGTCGTTCAAACGTATCAAAATCTTGACTGATGGTCATTACATATGCCAAAGGGAATGCAGCTTCTTCTGTGGACAAAGGAGTTGTGATATAGTGGTTCTCCAGCACATAGTAAGGGCAGGAATCTATTCCAAACGTTGTGGATAGAACACTTGGCAACACTTGCACTGTCTTCCCATTTAGGGCTGTGTCACAGATGTGCGGTAGGGAAAGGACTTGATATTCACCACCTGCATCATCCATTTGATCACTGTCTGGTTGACTTACACGCACGTTGTATAATACTGTGACGATGATTACAGCTTGAAGAGTAATGATACAAAGATAACTGCTCCAAAACTTCATTTTAGTTTTGACACCTTGGGGTAGAAGGGTGGAGGGAAATAATTCTTCTTTGAGAGTTAAAGAAAATAATCAATTAATCAAACATTTTGCCTCTCTACAAGTCTCTGCAATCTACAGCAGTTTATATGGAAATTCTGTCTCCTCTAAAATCCATAGCCAGTTGTGGGCAGATTTTGCCACCCAATGTTGCTAGGATCCTTCAAAACTAAATGAATGAGGGATAATAGTTGCACTCACTTCTCCAGATCCGGTTTGCTTATTTTAATTCCTGGCCATTTCCCAGTTAAGTGTCAATTCTGTGATATTTCTTACTTCTTGTTCTGTGAATGTGCTTATCTTTTAGTCAATGTATCCTCATCCAGGCTGGGCTACCAAGACTACTCAGTGTGACTCACTGTAACTGGGGAGCTGGGGTAAAGAGTGAGCTCTCATTTCTTGTTTCTATTGTTGAATCAGCTAATCTGTCATAATTGTGTCCAGTTACATACCTCTCTATATCTACCCCACCTTTTGTGGCTATCTTCTCCCTGAGTATGTATATCTAGGTATATTCCATTAATTTCCCATCTGGCTTATCAATCCTAACCTTTTAAGCAGGAAGATCCTTCCAGATTTCTGTCCATTAGAGTAGGAGTACTTCATTAGGCAGGGCCAGGTCTTAAGAGTTTTTATCCAAAGTGGTCAGCATAGCGCCAGGCACATTTGGGCACTCAGTGGATTCTTCCAATGAATAATTGAAAGAGTGACTCATTTCCCTCATTCCTTTAGTTTTGAAGGGTCCCAGCAAGATTAGATGGCAAAATCTCCCCACAACCAGCTGTGGCTTTTAGAGGAGACAGAATTTCCATATAAACGGCTATAGATTGCAGAGGATTAGGGACTAATTTTAACATGACCCATTACTCATATATATTAATCATTTTGATTATTAATACAATTTCAAACTATTGCTTTTACAGGTAGACTCGTATTCTCATGTGAATTTTCTTTTTTTTTTTTTTTTGAGACGGAGTTTCGCTCTCGTTATCCAGGCTGGAGTGCAATGGCGCGATCTCGGCTCACCGCAGCCTCCGCCTCCTGGGTTCAGGCAATTCTCCTGCCTCAGCCTCCTGAGTAGCAGGGATTACAGGCACGCGCCACCATGCCCAGCTAATTTTTGTATTTTTAGTACAGACGGGGTTTCACCATGTTGACCAGGATGGTCTCGATCTCTTGACCCCGTGATCCACCCGCCTCGGCCTCCCAAAGTGCTGGGATTACAGGCGTGAGCCACCGCGCCTGGCTCATGTGAATTTTCTAGATAACTGGAGTGCATTTCTTTATGGGCCAACTCTCTCTCTCTTTTTTTTTTTTTTATTTTGAGATGGAGTCTTGCTCTGTTGCCCAGGCTGGAGTGCAGTGGCACAATTTTGGCTCACTGCAACCTCCACCTCCCAGGTTCAAGCAATCCTCCTGTCTCAGCCTCCTAAGTAATTGGGATTACAGGCGTATGCCACTATGCCCGACTGATTTTTGTACTTTCAGTAGAGATGGGGTTTCACCATATTGGTCAGGCTGGTCTCAGGGGATCCCCCCAAAGTGCTGGGATTATAAGCGTGAGCCACCATGCCTAGCCAGGCCAACTCTCTTTTAATTGTTATTAGTTTTTATAAAAGTTAATATGTTTTCTCTGCCTTCTTTAATAAGCTATACAAAGATAAGGGCTTCTTGATGACTCCCCAAATCACATAATGAATATTATTATTATTTTAAGACAGGGTCTCTCTCTGTCATCCAGGCTGGAATACAGTGGTGCGATCATAGCTCACTGCAACCTGAACCTTCTGGGCTCAAAGGATCTTCCTGCCTTGGCCTCCTGAGTAGCTGGGACCATGGGCGTGTACCACTTTGTCTAGCTAAATTTTTTTTTTTGGTAGAGATGGGGTCTTGCCATGTTTCCCAGGCTGTCTCAAACTCCTGAGTTCAAACAATCCTCCTACCGCAGTCTCCCAAAGTGCTGGGATTACAGATGTGAGCTGTGGTGCCATGCCTACTATTTTCTACTAGAAATTCTATCCTCTAGTGCACTCTACATATGCTTTGCATTTGTAGCCACTTTTATCTCTTTTTCCTTCCTATCTCTTTTATTTCTTTTTCCTGCTTTTTCTACAACATTGATGATGACAATGACAACAAAACAACAACAAATTCATTGAGTTGTTTCTAAAAGACAGCCACTGCACTAAATTTCATGTCCAATTGTAACCCCCAGTGTTGGAAGAGGAGCCTGGTGGGAGGTGATTGGATCATGGGGTGGAGTTCTCATAAATAGGTCAGCACTGTCCCCTTGGTGCTGCTCTTGTGATATTGAGTGAATTATTGTGAGTTCTGGTGGTCTAAAAGTGGGTGGCACCTTCCTGCTCTCTCTCTTCCTCCTACTCTGCCCACATGAAGTGCCTCACTCCCCCTTTGCCTTCTGCCATGATTGGAAGCTTCCTGAGGCCTCTCCAGAAGCAGAAGCCACTATGCCTTCTACACAGCCTGCAGAACCATGAGGCAATTAAACCTCTTTTCCTTATACATTACCCAGTCTCAGGTATTTCTTTGTAGCAATGCAAGAATGGATTAATACAGAAACTGGTGCTGAGGCATGGGGCATTGCTATGAAGATACTGAAAATATGGAAGCAGCTTTGGAAACTGGGTAATGGGCAGAGGTTGGAAGAGTGTGGAAGGCACGGAATAAGACAGGAAGATGATGGAAAGCTTGGAACTTCCTAGAGACTTGTTAGGTTGTTGTGATCACAATGGTGATAGTGATATGGACAGAGATGGCCAGGCTAATGAGGTCTCAGATGGAATCCGGAGCTTATTAGGAACTGGAGCAAAGGTCTCTTTTGTTACACCTTGGGAAATAGCTTGGCTGTGTTATGCCCCTGCCCTAGGGAATCTGTGGAACTTTGAACTTAAGAGTGATGATTTAGGGTATCAGGCAGGACAAATTGCTGAGCGGCAAAGAGTTCAAGATGTGGCCTGGCTGCTTGTAACAACCTATGCTCATATGTGTGAGCAATAAATGACTTGAAATTAGAACTTATATTCAATAAGGAAGCAGAGCTTAAAAGTTTGGAAAATTTGCAGCCTGGTCATGTGGTAGAAAAGATAAGCTCATTTTCAGGGAAGGAATTCAAGCAGGCTACAGAAATTTGCATAATAAAAAAGGAGCCAAGTCCTAATATCCAAGACAATGAGGAAAGGCCTAAAAGGCATTTCAGAGACTTTTGCCACAGCCCCTCCCATCACATGCCCAGAGGCCTAGGAGGACTGAATGGTTTTATGGACCAGGCTCAGGGTCTCACTCCCCTGTGTACTCTTGGGACACTGCTCCCTGCATCCCAGCTGTTTCAGCTCCAGCCTTGGCTCAAAAAGATCAAGGTACAACTCAGGCCATTGCTTCAGAGGGAGCAAACCATAAGTCTTGGCAGCTTCCACATGATGTTAAACCTGTGGGTGTGCAGAGTACAAGAGTAGAGGCTTGAAAGCCTCTGCCTAGATTTCAGAGGAGGAGGGAAAGCCTGGATGTCTAAGCAGAAGCCTGCTGCAGGGGTGGAGCCCTCATGGAGAACCTCTACTAGGGGAGTACAGAGGAGAAATGTGTCCACACAGTTCCCACTGAAGCACTGCCTAGTGAAGCTATGAGAAGAGGGCCACCATCCTTCAGATTTCAGAATAGTAAATCTACCAGCAGCTTGCACCCTGCACCTGGAAAAGCTGCAGGCACTCAATGCCAACCTATGAGAGCAGCTGCAGGGCCTGAACCCTTTTAAGCCATAGAGGCAGAGCTGCCCAAGGCTTTGGGAGCCCATCCCTTGCACCAGTGTGCCCTGGATGTGAGACATGGAGTCAAGGGAGATTATTTTGGAGCTTTAAGATTTAATGATGACTGCCCTGCTGGGGCTCAGACTTGTGTGGGGCCTGTAGCCCCTTTCTTTGGGCTGATTTCTGCCTTTTGGAACAGGACCATTTACACAAGGGCTTTGTAACTTGGAAAGTCACTAACTTGTTTTTGATTTTACAGGCTCATAGGTGAAAGGGACTTGCCTTGTTTCAGATGAGACTTTGGACTTCAAACTTTTGAGTTAATATTAGAATGATTGAAGACTTTTGGGTAACTGTTGAGAAGGGATAATTGTATCTTGCAATGTGAGGACATGAAATTTGGGGGGCCAGAGGTGGAATGATATGTTTTGGAGCTGGGTCCCCACCAAATCTCATGTTGAATTGTAATCCCCAGTGTTGGAGGTGGGGCCTGGTGGGAGGTGAGTGGATCATGGGGGCAGAGTTCTCATGAATTATTTACACCATTCCTTCAGTGCTGCTTTCATGATGGTGAGTGAGTGAGTCATCGGGAGATCTGGTTGTTTAAAAGTGGGTGGCACCTCCCTGCTCTCTCTCTTCCTCCTACTCTGGCCACATGAAGTATCTCACTCCCTCTTTGCCTTCCACCATGATTGGAAGCTTCCTGATGCCTCCCCGGAGGCAGAAGCCACTATGCTTCCTGTACAGCCTGCAGAACCATGAGCCAATTAAACCTCTTTTTTTATAAATTACCCAGTCTCAAGTATTTCTTTATAGCAATGTGAGAACGGACGAACACACTTATATTACAAAGTTTAATCCTCACAGCCCCTTTATGAGGTACCGTCATCTTCTTCTTTTTTCTTTTTCTTTCTTTCTTTTTTCTTTTTTTGAGACTGAGTCTTGCTCTGTCACCCATGCTGGAATGCAGTGGTGCGATCTTGGCTTACTGCAGCCTCCACCTCCCAGGTTCAAGCAATTTTCCTGCCTCAGCGTCCTGAGTAGCTGGGATTACAGGCGCCTGCCACCACGTCCAGCTAATTTTTGTATTTTTAGTAAAGACGGGGTTTCACGACATTAGACAAGCTGGTCTGAAACATCTGACCTCGTGATCCGCCCGCCTCGGCCTCCCAAAGTGCTGGGATTACAGGTGTGAGCCACCACGCCCGGCCTATCATCTTCTATTTTATGAGGAGATGAAGAGCTATGAAAGTAACTTTTATGTTCAAGTCACACAACTACCAAGCAACAGCAGAAATCAAAGCAGAGTCTTCCTGATACCACGGCACATGCTTTTGTTTTACCTCCTGTGGGATGAGAAACATACATCCAAGCATGGTAGAACTTTCACTGTTACAGCCTTTTTTTTTTTTTTAAGTTGAATCACTGTTATCATTTAGCTAATTTAGCTCTGAGTAAAGATTGAGAACTTCATGTATATAAGGAGGCATGTTTCTCTCCACAGACGGGTGTGTGAGTGTGTGGGTGCTACTTCTTGACTCTGGCATGTGTAGCCAAAAATGCTGAGTAAGTAGAATGGTCAGCTGTTACTATATGTGGGTATTTGGTTTCAGTCTCAACCCAGGAGACGTAAACACTAAATCTTTCCCTCCAGCAATCATGGCCCCCAAATATATTTTCTTAATCTTCCTCTCTTTCTCTATAGCAGATTTCCCGACAGCACTTTGAGCAGATTCCATAACTTCAAGTCACCTTCTTCAGTGATGCAAAATCCATCCTTTTTTCAATTCCAATCTCATTCCAATTTAATAATGATTTTCCCCCTGGATGGAGGAAGGTTGCATGTGGTAGAGGCAGGGTCTGCTCCTTGACTCCCACTTACTCTCCCTCACCTTGAGTGGGTGGCATTGGGGGGTTAGGGACATGTGTCTCCTTCAGAGATGCTCCTGACTTCACTCTTCTCAGGAACAGATGAATATTTGAGTAATGCAGCTGCTTACAAGGCACTGTGTCGGTTATGGCTACTTGTCTTTTCCAGCTCAACTGGCTATGGAAGACCACCGCATGGCAGGTCACCAGCACGCTCTCTTGGGACATGGTGTGCACCCTTGGCAGAGCCTGGCAGCCTCTATATTGTCCAAGTTCTCTGACCTGGCATGTCAGGACCTGGCTCAAACCC